CATTTAAGTCTTTAATCTATTTTAGTTCATTTTATATATGGTGTAAAATAGTTGTCCAGTTTCATTCTTTTGTATATGGTTGTCTAACTTCTCCAACACTATTTATTGAAAAGATTGTCCTTTTCCTATTGTATATTCTTGGCTCCTTTGTCATAAATTAACTGACTATATCTACATGGGTTTATTTTTTGAGTATCTATTCTATTCCACTGATCTATGTGTCTGTTTTTATGCAAACACCATGCTGTTTTAATTACTATAGTTTCATAATTTTGGTAAGTTTTATATGTCCAGAAACTTCTCAGTTTTATCTTGGTTATTAAATGTTTTTGACATACAATTTTTCATAGTACTGTGTCATAATCTTTTCTTTTTTAGTTTTATATATTCAGCACTTTAATCTTTATTATCTCTCTCCTACTGCTATCTTTGGATTTAGTCTATCATTCTCTCACTAGTTGTAAAATTAGGCTGTTGATTTCAGATTTTAGTTATTTTTAATGTAAGAGTTTGCAACTATAAATTTCTTCCTTAGGATTATTTTTTCCTCTGTTTTATAAATTTTGGTGTTTTGAATTTTTACTTTTATTCATCTCTATGTATTTTCTAATTACTATTAAGATTTCTTTGAAGTATTAGTTGTTTAAGAATTTATTGTTTAACTTTCACAAATATGTAACTTTCTAAAAATTTTTCATTGTAATTGATTTCTGACTTCTCATTGAAGTCACTGGAAAACTTCCATGAGATCTATTTTTTGAAATCTATTGAGACTTAAATTGTTCCCTAACATATGTTCTATCCTGGAAAATGTCTCCTGTGCACTTAAGAAGAATGTGTAGCTATTTTTTGTTTGTTCATTTGTTTGTTTTTGTAATGTTCTGTCTGTATATGTCTGTTATATCTTCTTAGTTTATTCTGTCATTCAAATTTTCTATTCCTGTACTTTTATTTGGTTTTCAAATCATTATTGACAGTGGAGTACTGGTCTAAAACTATTATTGTAGACCTGTGTATTTCTATTTTCTGTCAATTTTTGCTTCACATATTTTGATGATCTGTTAATAGGTATATAAATGTTTATAATTTTTTTTGTTGTATTGAACCTATTATTAATATGTGATATGCTTTTTTGTGTGTTGTGAAGTTTTTTTGACTTAAAGTCTATTTTTTTCTGATATTAGTATAGCTACCTTTGCACTCTCTTGGTTACTATATGCATGGAATAATTTTTTCCTTCCTTTCAATCTATTTGTATCTTCTGATGTAAAGTTAGCCTCCTGTAGATAGCACATAGTTAAATCATAAGTGTTTTTTTGTTTTGTTTTGTTTCTTTTTAACTTTACTTCTAATCCTTGTGTTTTGATTGAAGAATTTAATTCATTTACATTTAAAGTAATTACTGTTAGAGCTATTTCCACCATTTTTCTATTTCTTTTCCCTATGATGTATAAGATTATTTGTCCTTTATTTCTTATGTTACTTTATTCTTCTGTGTTTAGTTTTAATGTTGTAGTAAAATATTTAAATTCTTTTCTCATTCCCTTGTGTGTATATTCTATAGCTAATTTACTTATCATTACCATGGACATCACATTTAACATTATAAAGTTACAACATTCTAATTTCGATTTTTACTAACTTAACTTCAGTAACATACAAAAACTCTGCTTCTTTATATCTCTGTCTCTAACACTTTTGGATGTTGATGTAACAAAATTATACCTTTATACATTTAATGTCTCCAGACATAAACTAATAATTATTTTAAATGCATTAGTCTCTTAAATTAGGTAGTAAACAAAATGTGGAGTTACAAACCAAAGTTACAGTATTTTGTTCAATGTAATAACCTCTAGGTCTATCCATGTCATTGTAAATGGTAGGATTTCATTTTTTAATGGCTGAATAATATTCCATTGTATCTATGAACTATAACTTTTTTATCCAATCATCTGTTGGTGGTCATTTAGGTTGCTTCTATATGTTGGCTATTATAAATTATGCTGCCATGAATTTTGGGGTGCATAGACTTTTACGAATTATTGTTTTGATTTTCTTTGGATAAATACCCAGAAGTGCAATTGCTAGTAAAAAGGTAGATCCATTTTAATTTTTGGAGAAACCACCAGACTGTTTTCCATAGTGACTAAACCGATTTGCAATCCCACCAATAGTGTATGAGGATGCCCTTTCCTCCACATCCTTGCCAACACTTGTTCTTTGATTTATTGAAGATCACCATTCTGAGAGGTGTGAGGTGATATCTCATTGTGGTTTTAATTTGCATTTCTTTGATGATTAGTGACCTTGAGCATATTTTCATATGTCTATTGGTCATTTGTATTTCCTCTTTGGAGAAGTGTCTGTTCAGGTCTTCTTCCCATTTTTTAATTGGATGGTTTGTTTTTATGTTGTTGAGTTGTATGAGTTCTTTATATGTTTTGGATATTAACATCTTATCATATGTATCATTAGTGAATATCTTCTCTCAGACAGTTGGTTGTCTTTTTGTTTTGTCGATGTTTTCCTTTGCTGTACAAAAACTTTTTAGTTTGATGCAGAATCATTTGTTTATTTTTTTCTTGTGTTTCCCTTGCCTGAGGAGATATATCCAAAAAGAAATTACTGTCAGTAATATCAAAGAGCTTACTGCTTATGTTTTCAAGTCACATATGTAATCAAATTTCATACTTAAAATTTTTCTATTAAATTCCTAAATCAGAAAATGGAGTCAGATTTATGGTTCTGAACAAAATGCAGTAGAATTAGTTTTGCTTATTTGTCTCACTTAAGTTCACCTTAACATCCTAGACATCATGTGTAAAATGCATGTGTTAAGACTTGAAAGGCAGATATAGGAAGGCAGATCAGCCAGGGAACTCAGACCCTAAGGAAAGACATGGCAGCGAGGGCCCTGGAATATTTTGGGCAGCCTCATATATCTTGGTTGGCAAAAACTTTGAACTCTTCTTTTCTTCTGTTTTCTTACACAATAAATGAATCAATCTACCTTTTTTTTTTTTTTTTTGGTGTTTCTTTAGTAGCTATAGCAAACTCTTCTTTGGTTCTTTGTTGTTTTGGTTTTTGGTTTTATTTAGCATCTTTGTTTTACTCACAGTGCCCATTAAAGTCTTTGCAGAGATACCAACATTTATACGAAGGTAAAAATCAATGGTTGGTTGTGGAATTGAAGCTGTAAGTATGTGAACAAAAGATATAAACTGAAACATCTAGCCTTCAACTCTCCTTTCTCTTTTTTTTCTTTTCATTCAGAGTACTCTTTGTACCTGGAGATGTGAGATTTGTCACTTTAGGCATTGTAGTCAAGTTTTAATATTTGTTCCCCTCTGTACGTATAGAAAGCAAGTGTGGGCTAGCTTGAGTGAGAATAGCACATTGTTCTCTAAGGAATGTTTCTATGCTCATGCCTCAACAGTATTCCTGTGGAGCATTAATGTGTTTAGGGGATTTGTTTGTTTCTTAATTGGAAATGTTTGATGTATATTTACTATTTTAGAAATATAATCTATAGAAAAAATAAATGAAGAAAATGAGATTAGGTTAAATTATTAATTCATTGAAAACAACAAAAGAAACAACAAAAACAAATTATATTTTATATATGAAACAAAACAAATATTAAATTTTACATATCTTGAGATACAATAATGATAATTGCACTATAATTAATAGTATTCTTAATTAATACATAATTCTAAATTCTTAAACTTGTAAATTAAAACAACCTTTATTATATGCAGGGTCTCCCAAGGCTGAAATCACAGTGTTAGCCAGGCTGTGTTCTCATACAGAGCTTAGGGTCTTTTTCCAGGTTCATTTAAGTCATTGGCAGATTCCAGTTATTTGTTTGTAGTATTGATTTTCCTGTTTTTTCATGTTTTTGGGCAGCCACTGGTTACTCCAAGTTCCTAGCATCCACTTTCTAAAGGACTTAATCATGCAGTCCTCTCCCAACTAAGGAGATTACTTCAAAGCCAGCAGGAGAAACTGTCCCTGTTTGAATCTCCTACACTTTGTAAGATATCCCACATAACCAAGTCTGATTAGCACAGTCAAAAAAGAGTGTTCACCAGGGGTCAGGAATCTACAAGTCATTCCAGAATTATTTCTGCCACAGCTCAGAAGCTTCTATTCTAGTTTAGGGTTCCCAGCTTGGCTAAGGTTCAGATTTCTCTGGGGAATTTATCAATAAACCATATTCATAGGCCTCTGTATAATCAGAATCAGATTCAGAATCAGAATATACCTACTGAATCAGATATGTGTCTTTGATGAGCTATGCAGGCAATCCCTATGCAGCCAACTGTGGCCCCTAGAACTTCTCCCGATAACCACTGGTCTGTTAAATACAACATCTCACCTGGCTATTATTTTATTAAAATATTAGAGTATTTTAAAAACTACAATTGAGTTCTTGAGAGGACAAATAACATAAATGGGATCATTAAAAATTAAGTGGCAAATGGAGATATATCAGTATAGCATTTAGAATTAGTGATCTGTTAATAGCTACGTCTCATTAAAATAGTAATTGCTTCTTGGCATCAAATCAATAGGTAATTTCTTACAAGGAAGGCTTTTAAATATTACCAATGATTTAAACTTGGAGTCATTCTAAAGGCTAAAGTATTGACAGTTTAGATCTCAGTGCTAACTCCTGGCAGATACAATTTTGGGCAGATTAACAAATATACTTTGGTAATTTTTTTAAAGCCAATTTCCTCAAATTGTGTTCTGTAGAATTTAATTTTTTGACATTAGCCATTGGAGGATTAATTATTATCTTATTTTAGTCTCTTGATGACAAGATTTTGAGTTACTCCTAAAAATTCACAAGGAAATGTGGAAAAATTATGTGATTTAAGTGTAAATTGGGCATGTGTCTTTCTTGTGGATGAAGTGAATGTTTCAGTGTAATTTTATTGCTTCAATTTTGAATGTTCACAGAACTTTTTATTTTTGCTTTCTGTATCTAGACTACTCTCCAGAATGTTGAGATTGCCAGAGAAGTGACTTCTGATAAAAGGAAAATATTGCTCTACCTAAACTCAAGTAAGATTATTACTTTTCAATATGCTATTGTGAGTAAATTAATGAAAAAAATCTTTCTCTACATTTATATAAGGGAGTGTTTTCTTCAGTATTAAGTTTTATGAAGTCTCTTTATCTCTTCTAAAACAATATTGAACATTTTTTTTTTTTAAATCTCCTGGTGTGGGGAGAATAATAACATTTCAAACACATACCAATGTTTAGTAGTTAGACTGTTTTAGACATCTTTCCATTATATTCATTTAAATAACTCTATTAAATTTATGTTATTACTTTAATGAACATGATTCAGAGAAATGGACATTATTAATGTTCTTCAAAAACTTATTTGTGGTAGAGGGTCCATCGCTCCTTATCAAGAAGAGAATCAGTGTCACACCTTTTAGTAAGCACTGGAGTCCTGGAGAAAGAATAGATATACAGTAATACCAGGATGCCTTGGCAAAGTTTTGTAAAACGCTTCACGACTCTAGAGACTAGGGGACTATCCCATTCTCTTTAGGTT